TGGAGACTATGAAGAACAGGTTGCAGGAATTGGGTATGGCTAGTCTAGAGAAAAGAAGGACTAGTGGGGACACGATAGCAGCATTCTAGTATTTGAGGGGCTGCCACGAAATAGAGGGGCTCAACTTATTTTCCAAAGCGCCAGAAGGCAAGGCAAGAAACAATGGATGGAAACTAATGAAGGAGAGAAGCAACCAGGAATTAAGGAGAAACTTCCTGACAGTGTGGACAATTAACCAGTGGAACAGCTTGCCTCCAGAAGTTGTGGTTGCTTCATCACTTGAGGTTTTTAAGAAAAGACTGGACAGCCACTTGTCTGAAATGGTATAGGGCCATGATGGCAAATCTATGGCACGCGTGCCACAGCTGGCACGCGGACCCATATCAGTGGGCACGCGAGTGTTGCCCTGGCTCAGATCCAGTGGGACCGGAAGTCGGGAAATGGAGGGCCTCTGGGGGGGGTGGGGAAAGCCATTTTCGCCCTCCCCAGGCTCCTAGAAAGGCTCTGGACCTGGGGAAAGTGAAAAATGGGCCTTCTGGGCCCACCAGAAGTCAGCAAATGGGCCGTTTCCAGCCTCTGGGAGGGTGGGGAAGGCCGTTTTCACCCTCCCCAGGCTCCTAGAAAGGCTCTGGAGCCTGAGGAGGGGGAAAAACAGGCCTACTGGGTCCGCCATGCTATCGTGTACCAAAAGCGGGGGAGTGCGGGGGGGGGGTCACACACACATGCATTGGGGTGGTGGGGCTCATTAAATTATGGGTGCGGGCATGTGCATGCATGACCCCCTCCCGCTCCCCCCTGCTTTTGGCACGCGAGGGCAAAAAGGTTAGCCATCCCTGGTATAGGGTCTCCTGCTTGATCAGAGAGCTGGACTAGAAGATCTCCATGATCCCTTTCAGCTCTATTCTGATTGACTGACTGCGTTCTAGGACTGAGAGTGAGGGAATGGCCCATAGTGGCTCAGCTGGCTGCATTTCCAATGTAGGACTGGAATTCACCACCTCCTTGTTCCTAACCAGGTGATTATAATTAATTTAAAATAGTTTCCTTGTGCAGTTAATGTAGTAATTGGACTATCCCTTTATTCTATTTTTTTTTATTTTTTTTTTCAAAGTGTACATCCCCCTCGTTTTGCAATCTCAGATGGAAAGGATAAATAAAAGATCTATCCAGCTAGATCTATTTCTTAGATTTAATTTTTGCATTACATTTTAAAAATTATTTTTCTGCCCCAAATCTGTTTATTTTCCCCTCACAGGCAGCATTTTTACCAATTCAACCAATTCATTAACCAGGTACCTGAACTAGAAGAGATTGGGTGAAGATCTTGGAGGAAAGATCCTAATTCAAACATTTGCAAATACAATTTGCTTACCAGCCCAGCCGTTTAAAAGTATTATTTTTTTCCTCCCACTTGTATAGAATATATTACAATTTAGCAAAAGGGCTGAATTTCATGTGCAGGTAGATAAGTCCTGGGTGAAAATTCACGGCAATAACTTTGCAGAAAAAGCAGGAATGAGAAATTCCCTCGTTTCGAGTCGGCTCCGAAGCTTCGTGGAAGTTTTGGATTCCCCACAACTGGCGAAAGAGGGAGGGAAGGATCCATACGAGGAAGTCAAATCCTCCAGACACGCGAAATGAGTGTCACCACGCAGGTTTACCCTTCCCATTGAGGTCAAGAGTTGGTTTGCTAGACATTTCAAGGGAAAATAAAGGACGTTTGAGATTTCCACGAAAAATAGGAACCAGTTTTGTTTTTTTTTTAATCTATTGAGTGTGTCTGGGGAGGGGTCCTTTTAGACCCGCGCAGGCAGCCCCCCTGCCCCCCTCCCGTCTTTAAGAATGGCGACCCACGTGTGAAACCAAACGCTCAACTTGGAATCTGTCGTGGCGGAGATCTGGCCAGGCAAGTCTGTCAGGGAGTAAGGCCAGAGGGACGGCTTTCGTAAAGCAGGTCCAGTCCCGGAGGGACTCGATGACCTCTGCCCAAAAGCCTTCTTCGAATGAAGGACTGAAAGGCAAGCTCACAACGGGAGAGGAGGGAGGGAGGGAAGGAGAGAAGGAGGGAGAGAAGAAGGGAAGGAGGGAAGAAAGGAATCCGAGACAGACAGATAGAAATAAG